AACCCTAAACCCTAGACCCCAACCCTCAAGGGTTCCCTAGTTGCCTTAGTTGACGACACTGGGGACTTGGGCGACTACGGCCCGACGCTGAGGCTCTGAACCTGAAGCCGCAGAGGCTCCCCCAAACCCCAAACACCCCTTAGTAAGTAGAACAGGGCTCCTTTNNAAGGGTTACTATAAGGGTTATTATACAAGGGTTGTAATATATGTGCCTTAATAAGTAGAATAGGGTTTTGGGGGTTCCTGAAAAAATTATCGTATAGAAGAGCTCCCAAACCCCTTTCTAACTATGAAGGCCCCTATGAACCCCTAAACCCCGAACCAAAACCCCGCAAGCTTAACCCTTAAATACTGAGTCTAAACTTTAAGCGTCGAGCCCCATGGTGCTGCAGAGTTACCAAAACAAGTGGGACGTTTCGGAACATAACGGAACCTAAATAGTCTGATCCTCAGTATACTATGCCCCGCAGAACCGTAACATGCCCTTAACTTTTTAAGGTCACCCCAAGTGTCATGGAGTCTATGTAAACCCACGCAGTATTCTGCTTTCGTCTTTGTCTTGGAGCTTCCTCCACAAGGATGGTCTGCAGCACCAGCGGCGTACTCTTAGTATAGTGTCGCCGTAGCCCCGAAGCGTAGACCCTACATTTTGTATCCTCGCGCCTTGCATCAACTTTTTCCTAGCAGAGGTCTTGCGGAGTCCTGGGTCATGGTCTGCGACTTCCACGGCTACTCCTGGCAGCTCGATGTGTGCTTGAAGCTGCTAGGGTTGGGCGGTTTGAAGGGTTGACACTTGAGGTGCTCGCGTTTAGATCTAGGCTTGATGCCAACAATATGGGTGGTTGTCAAAATTATGGTCCCTTTTTGGGTCCTTATTATAATACGGCACCTATTATTTAGTGGTACCCCAAAAGGGACCATAATTTTGACAACTACCCATATGAAGTACTGCAAGCCCCCAGCTTCCCATAGGTGCAAGCTGGGGATTGGCACGTGCTCCTTCTGGGACTTGGGGTCTGCAGGCTTGGCCAGGGATGCTTTCCTTGTTAGGCTTGCATCGAGGCAATACCCATAGGCCCTAAAGTAGTTCCTTGTTGGGATTCCCTAATAGGATTCTAAATATGAAGCCCAGAAAGGAACTACTTTAGGGCCTCTGGGTAATACCTCACCCAACGGTTGTATCAATCACGCATTGGAGGTTTGAGTTTGTATGTTGATGCATACGCTGCATCATCTCAAGCCTTCCAGATCCCTTCGACAATGGCGAAGAAGAAGCGATGGTGGCCGTGCCGATGATGCTTACGATGCTGTCTGTGGATCAGGAGTGCGATGTGCTTCTGCTGCTGGTGGCGGTGATGGCGTGAGAATGATGGTGGTAGGGACGACGACAGTTTCCCGCATGTTGTTTATTTCCCGATATGTTCAGAAATTCAGTGCCATGGCATCTAGTTGTCGCTTAGCTTGTGCGATTGGAGATTGACGCTGCTTCTGTGCTGGGTAGTTCTTAGAACTCGTGTCCATCTCACAGCAACCCTCCTTCACGCACAGGGCACATCGAATCTCACATATCGGTCCAAAAACCACAGAATCCAAGTTACCAGTTCTCAAATCCTAAAACTATCAAAGGCATGAGCTGATACACAGAGCTTGAAGTCATTGCTGTGATGGCTAGTCTTTCTACCTTTGCGACCAACTACTGTAATTACTTATTCGATGTGCAACCATATTATAATGTTGTTTGCAACCATGACGATTTCTTTTTAAACTTGCCTTACCCCTAGGGCCTTGAAAGCCTTTGATTGCCTTTAAAAGCTTCGAGAGACCCTGCAGCGATTGTAAACCCTAAACACTTCGCTGGTCTATTGTAAGACCCTTCGAGTTAAGTCCCTAGACAAACCCTTAAACGCACCCTTACAGTAAATCCTTCAAGCAATCCTGAAGCAACCCACCCGCATAGCACTCCCTACAGTGGCCCCAGCAGTAACCCTTATCGTCATCCTTGTTGCACGTTCTCCATCCTTTCAGGTTCGTCGACACGGACCCGCGCGCCGCGCTCTTCACGGCCAAGCTTTTGGCCCACTACCCGGAGCGTGGCTTGGTCTGGGGATCGATTTAGGGTTTAGGCTGTGAGGCTTATTTGGAGTTATGGTTTTCATAAGTCTCTGCAAGGCTGCTGTGAAACCTTTTTCGAAGTTGACAACGTTTGCAACTGTGTTTACGGGTTGAGGGGTTTAGGGTTTCGAGGGCTTAGGTTGTGGGATTCTCTGGCCTTGGGGTTTGGGGTCTTGAGGGTCTAATGTCGGGGCCTCAATAATTACCAAAATTATTTTGGAGGCTCCTTATTAGAACTCTACGATAATATACCCCCCCCGAAAACCCTATTCTAATCATGAAAGCCCCAAAACTGGGCCCTTATAGAACCCTTATATAATAACCCTCATAGTAACCCCTCAAAGGAACCCTATTCTAATTATGAAGGCCCCTATACCAAGCCCTTATAGAACCTTATATAACAACCCTTAGAGTAACCTTTTACAGGAAACCCTATATTCTTACTACGAACGCCCTCCTCAAAAATTCGTGTCCTGGGCTGCAGGGGGACTCGTCTTTCACCTAAACCCTAAACCCTAAACCCTAAACCCCAAACCCTAAACCCTAAACCCTAAACCCTAAACCCCAAACCCCAAACCCCAAACCCCAAACCCTAAACCCTAAGCTCGGCTCTTCAGGCCCTGCCTCGCGGCCCGGGAAACCCCCCAAACAAACACTCCAAGACAGGGTCCCTGAAGCCCGAAACCCCCTAAATCCTGAAACCTAACTATAGACCCTAAACCCCTAAACCCCTAAACCCTAAACCCTAAACCCTAAACCCATAAACCCTACATCCTGAACCCTATAAGCCCTAAGGCCTAAAGCCAATATAAACCCCAGATCCTTACGCCTATATAGACCTTAAATCCTAGACCCTATAAGCCCTAAACCCTAAAGCCTAAGCCCCTAGAAGTCATCCCTCCCGGAAAAATCCGTGCGGCTTTCGAGGGACACCAAAAAAATTATAAGGGGTTCCTTATTTTAATTAAGGCCCCTGTACTAGACCCTGATAGAACCCTTATGAGAACCCTTATAGTAACCCTTTAAAGGAGTCCTATTCTAATTATGAAGGCCCTAAACCCTAAACCCTAAACCCTATTCTAATTCTTAAGGCCCCTAAACCCTCAACGCTGAACCCTATTCTACTTATGAAGGCCCCTAGACTAGGCTTGGGGCGCTGTCTGCTGGTGGACGCCCCGAGCATCTTCAGCGGGACTGGCGCCTCCCGGAGGTTTCGGGTTCTGAGGCCTCTGGGATTTTGGGTTTCCGTTGGGAGGGTTGAGGGTTTAGGGGTTTAGTCAGGGGTTTAGGGGCTTAGGGGTTGAGGGTTTAGGGGTTTAGTCAGGGGTTTAGGGGCTTAGGGGTTGAGGGTTTAGGGGTCGGGGGTTTAGGGGTTCAGGGTTTAGGAGTTTAGGGGTTGAGGGTTTGGGGTTCCGAAGTTTCTGATTCCATATAGATGCCTGAAACACTAAACGCCCGAGCCCCATCCTAACTTCCAAGGCCGTGAAATAGAGGCCTTAATCATCAGAATAGGGTTTGGGGTATATTACACTATAAATATACTAAGGAACCCCCAGAA